TCTGCCTCCCTTCCCACCCCTCCCACCGCAACACAGCGCTCCAGCCCCACCAGGTCTCTCTCGGCTCTGCACCCCCAGGGCAAGGCAGAGCGTGGGCAGGAAGGTATTTCAGGTGGGGCAACGCTGCCAAAACACAGCTCCCAGGGCCTCGTTTATGTCCCCAGGGGTCTCCAGACCCAGTCACAACAGACACGGTGGTGGGAGGTCACCCCAAGGAGGGGGTTGCTCCTGTTTTGCCCTGGGGCTGCTCAGGCTCCCAGCACAGCGGTGGCGAGCACCAAAGCACCTCTTACCTTCTGGCTTAAGGGCTCGCTCATAGGACGGCTCCTTCTCGCAACAGCTGTCGCCCTGTGACTCCATGCGCTCGGGGAAGCCCGAATCCAGGCTCAGCAGGGAACTCCTGGCTGCCAGGCCCTTGCTCCGGACAGTGCTGGTGTCTCCGATGTCCGGGTGCAGCTCGGGCACAGCCGGTGACAGCGGAGGCTCCTGCAGGAGGCTGGAAGTCCTGTCCCCATCCCCCAGCTCGGGGGCAGAGGTGGCTGATGCACAACTGCTCTTGGAGGTCAGGGGTTCCAGCTTGTCTGGGAGCAAAGGCTGCAGCCCCTGCTCTGGTGACATCCGTGCCAGCTGGAATGGAGGCTGGAACACGCTGACTGAGTACCTGTGCAAGGAGGTGGCCGTCAGCGCGGGGCAGGCACAGGGCCCTGGGGCAGGAGCACCCTCCTTCCCCGCACCCTCACCTTGCATAGCCCTCCAGCAGCTGGGCCAGGCGGGCGTAGGTGAGGCGGGACTCAGGCACACTGATGAGGAAGGGGAAACCGATGTTCTCGGGGCGGCACAAAGCCTTGTGGTCTGGCCAGTGCGTTTTCTGACATGCCCTGTAACACATACAGCCCCCGCTGAACCCACCAGCGTGACCAGCCGGGGCAGGAGCACAGGGCCAGAGGGGTACAGTGGGGACGAAGGGAGCATCATGAGCCAGACTGGCTCCTTCCCATCCCACCCAGTGGAGGATGAATAATCCCATCCAGCCCTTCAACACAGGAGACCCTCCCTCCCCGGTAGCCAACTCACACGTTGCAGTAGCCGACTCGATAGCACCTTGTGCAGCGCTTGAGTTTCTCATCCTCTGAGAGCTGCTTCTTCTGGCAGGCTGCACACTTGGCCACGGGGCCGCTGGGCACCTGCGGACGCTGCAGGAGAAAGGACCCATTGGGCAGGGAAGGGCACCTGGGCAGGACAAGGCAGCCTCGGTGGGCATCGGTGCTCGCTGCAGCTCGTCACGCTTGCTGCAGCTCTCCCCCTCCTGCTCAGCCTCCCAAGTAGTCCCAGTGTTCCCCACCTCTTACCTGCTGGACCTGCAGCTCCACCACCCGCTCCTTGGCCAGCTCTGGGGACAGCACCTCGAAGCAGAACAGCAGGTCCGTGGGGGAGACTGTGTCGAGCGAGTTGGACGGCAGGAACATGCGGTGGAAGTGATTCTTGATCACCTGCCAGGAAAGCAGAGCAGGGCTGTCCCACGCTTCCTCTCCTCAGGAAGCATCAGCCCCACAGTGAGCTGTGGGACATCAGCACCACAGGGATGCTGTGCTCAGCTCCCCACACTGCCAGGGGAGGATGGACATCCCTTGCCCTCCTGATCTGCCCAGCAGCACCCTGAGCATGACACTGCCACCCGCAGACAAAATCCATCCCATGGATATGTTGGATATGACAAGTTACTACCAGTAACAGTGTCCCCTGCAGTGGGAATCGGGGCACCCACAAGAGCAGCCTGTGAGTGCTCTCACCTCTGCCAGGCGCAGGTTCTCTGGTTTCACACGCACGCTGTGGGCCACCGAGTCAAGCACCTCCATGGCACTGGAGTTCTCCTTGCTGATACTCACGAGGAACTGCCACCAAGAGAGTGCCACATCACTCACACCACACCAAGGCATGCGGGGGCCTTACTTAACACAAGGCTTAGCCTGTTGGCACAGGACCAGCTGCCTGGGACATCTCCAGGAGCACTCTAAGGCTCGCTCCCCACCAGAGTAGATGATGTCCTTTACCTTAATGGGTTTCTTGTGCGGCTCTTTTGCAAAGTAGTAGACAGTCAGCACCTTCTGTTTCTGAGGGAGGGGCACGGGGAGGTACAGGAATGGGTCAAAGGTGATGGATACCTGCAGACGAGAGAACACGCTCAGCTGTGGGAAGTGCCTGTGGCCAAGACCAATGGGGCAGCAGCCTCAGCCTTGCCCTATGACATGCGCTTTTTGAGGGTCAGGAACCTGCTGCTGAACAGCCAGGACAGGACAGAGCCTCCAGAGCTGCCCTACCTTGGAACACACTGGGCACACCAGCTTGGATTTGTACTGGCCCTGGAAGAGGTCCACAATGAAAGAGTCGTTCCTCATCTTGTGCCGCTGCCAGGCCTCCTCAGCTACCACCTGCAGGGAGAAAGGGCTGAGCAACACAGTAAACCACCCAGCCTGGGGCTGCTCTCCAAGGGGAAGGCCGTCCTCACCTCGTCAGGCCTCCCATCCGAGTCCACAGTCTCCGTGTAGGGCTTGTTTTGGATGCGGTTGAGGTCCTCGTGCAGGCCATCAAGCAGGAAGGCCATGAACTCCTGAGCATCGTGCTGGGCATAGCCAGTGAACTGGCTGGCCTTGCTGGCCACGATTGCCTGGGGATTGCCGGGGGGAGCACAGTGGTCAGGACTGGCCAGCAGCACCACCGCCCCCCACACAAAGCCTGGCTGCACCACCCGCATCCACCTCATGCTCTGTGGCACTAACAGGGCAGGTAGGTACCCACAGGTGACCCCCAGAAGCTCCTGCTTGGCCCTGCTGCTGCCAGCAGCCCTACCTTCAGTTTCGAGGGCTGGAAGGCATGGTGTGTGCCCTTCCACAGCGCCCGCAGCAGCATGGCAAAGCCGATGGCCAAGCGGCCCCCCGTCCCCAGCGGGTTGTTGTAGTTGATTTCCGACTCGAAGGACCGATCTGTAAGAGATGCAGGGGATCAGGGTGGCCTCTGGCTGCACCGTCCCAGTGCAGGGCTCTGGGGCTCCCGGCCTGGGCTCACCATGGAAGTAGTCACGCAGCTCCCGGGTGTTGGACAGGGACTGGATGACGCTGTTCATGAAGCAGGTGTTGCCCAGGTTCACCAGCCCCGTGAAGCCAGGCAGACAGACCTTCTTCTTCTCATCCTCGTCCTCATCGTCCTCCACGCTTTCGGTGCTCACCGGGCTGTGTGTCATCGGTGGCACCATGCACGTTGGTTTGGGCTGCCAAAGCAGAGGTGGGTGTGAGCGTGCTGCTTTTGGGGAACACCAGGGGAACCCAAAAGCCCAAGACAGCCCTTAGAAAGGGCTGGAATCATCACACCATCTCCCACCAGGGCCAGAACAGACAGGTCAACCACCCCTAATGCTGCCAGCTATAACTGAGCAGTGCTGCCTCCTCCTCCAGGAACAGTTTGCCAGTCCCCAGAGTGACACCAAGGTCCCATTAAAGAGACAAGTAGCCTCCCCTTTTCCCTCCACCCAGGTCAAACCCAGCGTGTCCCCACTCACCGATGGGATGTGTGGCTCTTGCTTCACTGCCACATGCTCTTGGGCCGTACGTGCTGCCACACCATCCAGACCCCCATCTTCCACACGTGGCTTCTCTTTGTCACTGGCTCGGGCCTCTTCCTTGCTGGACAGGGGGTGCTGGTTGCTGCCAGGGGGGTTCTTGTCCAGAGGGGTAGGGCCTGTAGGCATGGCAACCTTTGCACCACCCACTGCACCTTAAAAAGGGGGAAGGGTGGGCCTGTGGTTAGCAGCACCGCGCTGCCCATGGCAGGGCTGAGCCACTCGGTCCGTGCTCACTCACAGGCTCTCTCTTACCCCTCTTCCCTGTGAGCAAGGGGAACAGCAGTGCCCTTCCCATTGCACTTGGCTCACCCCACACCCCTCCTACCTGCACCCGCTCAGCCCCTCTCCATCCCCACCACAACACCACGCCAGAGGACCCAGCACTGGCCGGCGGTGGGGAGGGCCCGTGCGCCTTTGGGGGGCAGCAGGCAGCAGCAAGACAAGGAGGCAGGGTGCAGACCTCGTGTGGCTGGAGCCTCCAGCCCACCCCAGCGCTGGCTCTGGCGTTTCTTCAGGCAGACATTGATGCGAGACAACGTGAAGTTGTACGTGCATTGGTTTGGCTCAATAAGGTTCCTGCAAGACAAGCAGCC